ATAGTATGCATAATATGTTTTCTGTTAATAATCAGTTAGTTATCAAAAACATTTAAACTGGTTGGGCTCTACTAAAAACAGCGTTGGTGAATACGACTGGTCTGATGCAAATTAAACGCGCAAGAAACAAACTACCATGTTCCAAAACACTGCAGATTATCTTAAAATTGATTTTTTTTTTCCAGCAGGGGTAAAATATATGGCAACACAAACAAAATACAATGAACGTCACAGAATGAATCAGGAACCCCTCTGACGTAATATTCAAACAGGGATGTTGGATAGGCGTGAGATCCGGTCTGAACTGGCACCAATCAGTTCTGGTCTGATGCAACTGTTACAACAGATACAACTTCCGGGGCATAATGTCCAAAACGTGTCCGATGACCGGGAACCTGCGTCAATGAATGAAACGCGCCTAAGACCTAAAACCGCCACGTTGTGCGAATATCTAAAATATAAGATACATCAAATGTAAGGAACAAAAACGAGGGATGTGAGAAATTTAAACAGACACTTGAATTGTAACGTTATTTGATTACCGGTGTTCGTTCTCTCTGGCTCGCAAGGACACACATGATTTATTTCACTGATAAATAATCCTCCAAAATAACAGAATAAGAGACGAATAATTGTGATCGAAATCATTGAGAGATATAACAAATTAAGATCAATAAAATTAACAGGGTAGACGAATAGTTGCAACAGTAGTCTGTAAGCATAATGACGTTTATTTCGTTGGATGAAATCTGTTTACTCTGTAATTAATTTATTTACAACTGATACATGTATATTTATAGTTTATTGACATTATATATATATATATATATATATATATAGCGCTTTATACAATACAGATTGTGTCAAAGCAACTTTAGTGTTAAACAGAAAAACCGTGTGTCGATAAAAGAGGACAATAGAAAAGAGTGCACTAATCTAATGTACGTTTTTAAAAAATATTATTTTATCATTGCACGGCTAATGGATGCCTCAAAATATTGTTTTATGTAATATAGTTAATGTCGTGGATGTAAGTTAAGTTAATTTGACAAGATGATTACATGCACGAGTTCGATTGCATCATTTACCGTATAGTATAGTGCAATATGGATCCAGGCTGCATCTTGGAGTCCAGATGGACTAATATGAAACGATCTTATGAGTTATCGCAACAAAACAAAACAAAAAATAAATTTGAAATAGTGAAAAGTTACCTCTTGGTTTCTGATGTGAAGATGCCGATACCTTGAGTCAGCTGTGTTTACCTTGTCAGCCTGTGTGCGAGTTTTCAGCATCGGCTCGTGCGTCTACGTTTTGACGCTGAAGCGGTAGATGACGTAGTATAAACAGACCGCGACGCACCCATTTCTCCACCCATCCTCCTGATGTACACCAATCAGCTTTGAGGGCGTTTCAATTCAACAGAAGGATGGAGAGAAAGATGTCCTGTTTCAACGTGAAAAGTGACGTCTATAGTATAGTATTTTAGTAAATTATTCATTTTCATATCGACCACTACGCAAAACCATCTCAACAAATACAACTGACAAATAAAGAACAGCCAGAGGTGTAAAAATTGCAGAGGTGTTGTTACTTTTAAATTTAAGCATGGGTAAAAGATTTCCACATTCAAACAGTTTCCACATTCAATAAAGTATTGATGAAAAGTAATTAGGCTGATAATGCAAGAGGAAGTGGAGAACTTATCCGTAACTTTAATGCAAAAACGGTACAAAACAAGTTTTCTCAGTGTCTTATAATGGACTAAAAGACTCTAGCTCAGGGGTTTTCAATCTTTTACATGCCACGGACCTCCAGATATGTGAGGGACTCCATCCTAAAATTTAAAAGATAGCTATATATTTTCATGTATAAATACTCAAATACTGTGAAATATATAGTTTTTTTTATTATTTATTTCTTTGACATTCAATTAAATTAGATTCAATAAAGCTTAATCTAATCTGATTTTAAAGTTGAATATTTATAGACTGTGTAAACTATTAATTAACTAAAAAGATACTAAAATGATACTTCAGTACATTAGCCCTTGAACATAACCTTGTTGATGTCCAAAGGGCATGCGGTATCAAACCAACCTTGTATGCACTATATTTCCAGAATTATATATATATTTAGGAGTAAGTCAAGGTCCTGTCATAAAGAGGCTTTAGGTGATCCCATGTGAAGCAGGATCCCTTTACAGCACAGATATTCTTATCAGTTTGATTGTGTCAGAAGGCAAAGTGTCTTTATGTGTGTAAAGGAGTATCGGGCAGAGCTCCAGGAGGAGAGAAAAGTGGCTTACCGATCAGTTTCAACATTTTGCACTGTTGATACTGTCCAAGCCCAGCAGGTTTAGAATGGTATCGACTTCACCTTGGCTGTGAAGTAAAATAAACTTTAACGTGGGATTCATACCCACCGGCTCTTTCTGAGGTGTAGTGTGAGGGAGGTTCTGCTAGTGTTATAAAATAAATCTCCCATCGGCCTTGGTAAAGTTCAGATCGCTCTCCCAAGCAGGGGGCCCATTATCCTCAGAAACGTAGACTTAATCTGAAACTTTTCCAAGAAATGAACTTGGACGAGTGTCAACAAACTAAGGAAAGATGTAACTCTACCTTGTATGTAACATAATAAACATTGGCAGGTTTTATTACATACTCTCTTAAAAAATAGGCTCCAAAAGGAGGTTTTTGCAGCAATGCCATAGAACACTCTTAAAAATAAAGGTTCTTTTTTGGCATTGATGGTTCCACGAAGATCTTTTAAAATCCATGGAAATTCTCCATTCAACAAAAGGTTCTTTATATGTGGAAAAAGATTAGATAAAAGTTTCTTTAGATTATTAAAATGCCCATCTCTTCACACTAAGAAAGTAATGTTTTTTTTATAAGAACTGTTTACTGAAAGATTCTTTGAGGAACCAAAAATGGTTCTTCTAAGGCATCACTGCAAAAACCTCTTTTTGGGACCTTTATTTTTAAGAGTGAAGAACTATTTTAGGTTTTTCAAATAATGTTTAGGTAAACAGTTCTTAAAAGAACCATTTTTTTCTTAGTGTAAAGAACATTTAAAGAATCTAAAGAACCTTGTTGCACTATAAAAAACCTTTTGGGGAATGGAAAGGCTCCAAAGATATTAAAGGTTCTTCATGGAACCATGGATGGCAATAAAGAACCTTCATTTTTAGGAGTGTACAGTTGGTTTTGTTGGTTCCTGTCCAGACAAAAAGTCTGGTGCGTATCCTCAATTCTTGTTTAATCTTTTTCCATCCTGTCAAGTTGACTGAAACATCATAAAACAATGGTAACCAGTGGAAACCATGGCATGTCACAGCCTTGCGTTCTGTGATCTCATCCACTGCAGTTTCAGAGTTAACAAAGCACATGTAATCTCACGTCTGTCCATTTGACTGCTCCTTTTAGCATGTTTTCATAGGGAGGGTTAAAGTCTGTGCATCAAAGAAAGCCTTGTGGTCTTTGACATCGGTGGATATGTCGTGTCAGTTTGTGTAGGCATCAGAAATATCCCATTTAGCTTCCACTTCACGGACTAATGCGTCAGTCATGCGTTATGCGCAAACTCGTTTACAATCTATATGCTTGCAAGTGAATGGCAAGTGTTACTCAATGAATACTTATCCCTATTCTTCTCTGTAATGTTTGTGAGAATGGGTGATAAGGGCAAGCCCTCTTTTTACACCTTGTGAACAAAATGACTTTAAATAAAGCATTTGTGGAAACAAACAAAATAATCAAAAAGAGTACAGTGGAAATAAAATCATTTTTGAGCTTGTTTGTCCATGTGACTCGCACACCGCCGATTAGACTCGACTATTAGCGTATCCAAAAGTAGGATCTAAATGAGGAATATATTAATCCTCTTAACAGGCCTCTTCTTGCAGTTGTAAGAAGTAATGGTGTCAAGTTTATCCACATTCAAGCAGCGTTTACACAGTTTACACGACAGGCTCATTCAGCTAGACTTTACCTGCCCGCTAACGCTTTCCCTCCCCCATGTTTAATCCAGGTTGATCAGAGCAATTCACACAAGGGCAAGTAACATGAAAACACTGTTGTATTCAGTAAAATTGTCTTAAAATAAACTGGGCACACCCAGATTTCTGTGATTTTGTACTTCATTAGCACAATAATAGTAGCTACAATTTACACTACCAGACAAAAGTTTGGAATAATTAAAACTTTTTAGTGCTTTTGGGGAAAAAAGTCTTCAGTGCCGCATGATTATTCAGAAATCATTCTAATATAATGATTTGCTGCTTTCAAAATTTTCAATGTTGAAAACTGGTTTTGCTGCTTAATATTGTTGTGGAAACTGTGATACACTACCATTCAAAAGTTTGTAAGATTAAAAAGAAGACGACGACATTATTATTCAGCAAGGACACACTAAATTAATAAAAAAATAAAATAAAAATAAATTAATAAATTAATAAATAAAAAAAAGTGACTGTAAAGACGTTTGATTCATGAAAGAATCCTGAAAAAAGATATCATGGTTTCCACAGAAATATTAAGCAGACATTGAAGACATTGAGAATTGATGCTGAACATTCAGTTTTGCCATCAAAGAATAAATTGCATTTATAAACAATAGAAAAAATAGAAGTTATTTAAAATTGTAATATTTCACAGTATTACTGTTTTTTTTTTTTTTTGATCGAATAAATGGAGCCTTGGCGAGCATAGAAACGTCTTTCAAAAACATCTTAATTATTCCAAGTTATATAAAAAGTGCACGTTTATCATGTATGGATTAATCCCCAGTGGTTACAATGGTTAATTTGCTAGTTTCTGCAGCGCTGCCACCTCGTGGCTACATTCAAGAAAACAGCCTTCTTAATCTGGGATTGCTGAATTACATGGACTAATAAAATGGAAAATCGGTGATGTGTGAACATATATTATTACAAATTATATGATTCGATTAACTATGTAATATGGTCTTATAGAACAAAATGAGAGAATACATTGAAGGAGACAGAGAAGGGTTTATTTATGGGTAGAAAGGATGGCAGTTTAAAAATCAATTAGTGCCCTTTTCTTTACACATAGTCCTGAAAATAACCAGAATAGTAAGAGCCAGAAAATAACAACTCATTTGAAGAGATGGCGTATAGAAACGTAACAGCAAATGTGACATTTTGTCATAATGGAATTCAGTTTATCACAGTGATTGAATATGTACATTCCCAAAGCTTTAGTTATACACGGACACTAAAAAAAAAAAAGAAAATACATTTAAACATGGTTGCAAAAGCCTTGTTATAACATATTTAGTCAAAGTCAAAATGATACGAATGAAATACGGAATGTAAAGGAAGACGTTGTCGAGAGGCAATCCCAATTTTAGCTTCCGAAGTGCTACATTTGGTGAGAGGGTGTCATCTTGATAAAAATTGTTCTCTGGTTTTGTGTTGTGACTTAATTAATTCTTGAGATGATATCATTTTCTGTAGAACGGAAGCTTGTTGCTTTAAATCTAATTAATTTGTCAATCAATTAATAACCATTAAATCAAGAATACACCAAGGAGTGTCATGTGGCCTGATCAAATTCTCCTTATAATATACATATATTTTTGGAGAAAACACTGTGGGTTGCCTAAAAGGTTTAAGCCAGGAGTTTTAACTAGAATAAACACAGAAAGCACTATTTTTAGAGAGAGCAATATTTGTTTTAAGATCAGCAAAAAAGAATGTGTCTTTCGACAAAACGAGTGCATGAGGTATAAACACAGCATTAAGATGAGTTCATCCTCAGGGTGAAATAGGTGTTGTAGTCTAGTTCTATTCAAGAATAGAAATATATACAGGATATCATGGACAGCAGCTGTAAAAGGCTTTGACTGATGTGCAGAAAAGAGCTGGTAGAGCAGATGGGTCCAGGACAGGGAGGAGGGGGGGGTTTACCAAAACCTTTGGATCACAGGCCAGGAGACATGAAACAAAACGGTTAGAGATCTTGACAGTACTAATGCACTCACGGCAAACTAAGCTGCCTCCTTCATTATTCCATTTTAGTTTGAGAAAAAAACAAACAAAAAAAAACTTGATTGGATAATGATAATAAGTCTGAATGTTGTCTGAAATTTTGTGAAATTAACTATTCCATTAAGCCAGTTCACCCAAAAAAAAAAATTTTTTTAAAATGCAGAAATGTACTTACCCACAGGCCATCCAAAATATAAAAATATAAATGAGTGTTTCTTCATCAGAACAGATTTAGAGAAATTCATATCATTACATCACTTGCTCACCAATGGATCCTCTGCAGTGAATGGGTGCCGTCAGAACGAGTGTCTTATTAAAAAAAAAAAGTGTGTGTGTGTAGGTAAATAATCTGTCATTAAAGAACCTTAAACCGCATAAACACATTTCATTACACCAAATACACAAAATAATGTTCTTTTTAGCAGCATCATATGACCCCTTTAAGGCGTTTTAACTTAAAACCGTTTCTTCTGGCCAATACGAGTCCATAATAACACTTCATCCAGTGAAAAAGTCCTCTTGCATCAAAATCCACTGGCATATTTGTTTAGAGATATTTTGGCTTGTAAACAGTGCTTGATATGTGCATTTTTATTTAATGATTCATACAAGATGACTTTTTAACTGAAGCAAGCAATATTATGCATAGAGGACTTTAGCCGGAAACAATGGTTTGAAGTTAAAAACGTCATCATGCTGTATTTCTTTCTTACAAACAGGCAGCTTTTTGCTTCACAAGATGTTACTTGATGGACTGGAGTTGTGTGTCTTACTTGTGGATTACTGTGATGTTTTTATCAGCTTGGACTCATTCTGACGGCACCCATTCACTGCAGAGGATCCATTGGTGAGCAAGTGATGTAATGCTTAATAATCACTCCAAATATTTTCTGAATGAAGAAACAAACATCTTGGATGGCCGGAGGGAGAATACATTTTCAGCAAATTTTCATTTTTGGGTGAACTATACCTTTTTAAAAAAGAAGATACAACACAAAGCATGCAAATCAAGACATGCAGCCAGCAGTAGTTTTACAAGTACATGTTGACTGTAAAGGACATGACAAGCAGATGCAAAATAAAAATGAGCAAAGCAACAGGATGCCATATGACATTAAAGTGAGTTTTGTAAGTAAAGCCAAGAGACGGCATTTCCCCCACCATATAATTGATTTGAATTTTTAGCATTCATGCAGACATTGTTTCCCACATCAGTTACAACATACTGAGAATAAAAAACAAAACTTACTTCATTCACACCTAAAATGGAAGAGAGAATAAACAGATTAAGTTAAATAGTTCTGTTATAAAATCTCCAGCCGGTGCTCTATTTAGTTTTACTTTATTTACAGACAAACGCAACAGGCACAAATCGATGAACACAGGTGATAACATAAATATAGAGTCATTCTGAAGAAAATGACTGAACTTTGGCAGGACAACCTTTAAACAGTTGGCAAATATTTTGTCCTCCTAGGGAGCTGTTTTTGGATCTTTCTCACGATCGACTCCTAGAGTTTAACCTGGACTCACATACAATACAGGTCTTAAGCACTTATTTCATACCAAAAATAGGTACATACGTTTATTAATGACTTTGGACAACTCCATAGTGGTTGACAAAAGGACATTACAGCACTTTAACCCTAATATCAGTTTTTAGAACACCAGTCTTTTCTAACTACTAAATGCCTATTGTTGGGTGATACATACTTAACAGGCCTGATGTACTTTATTTAGTAGTTTTTGGAACTCATTTGTTTGCTAACACAGAGTTTTTGAACATTAGCATAAATCTTCCAACATAATCTCAGAACCAAATCTTTTCACATAAAATTGGAATTAAAAGGCTCTAATCTCTTCATAATCCAAAAAATGAAGTGTATTAATTAGACTGAAATGCAACATTCATTTTTTATAAGATGGTAGTTTTAAATTGTATTTAAATGATGCATTGGACGGTTAAAACTATGGAAGCTTATTTCAGCTACAGAATAAAACAAAGGTACCTGTGAGTTTGCATCTCGCAATTCTGATTTTTTTTTCTAATTTCTGAGTTTACAACTCACAACTGTTTGTCCCAAAAAAAAAAAAAAGGAATCAACTTTTCCCCCCCCCCAAATCTTTTTTTTTTTTTTTTGCAACTGTCATTGCAATTGCCAGTTTCTCTCACAATTCTGAATTTTCATCTTAGAAATGAGAGTTAACATCTAAAATTCTGACTTCATGTCACAATTATGACTTTTTTCCCTCAGAATCTGGAGAAAGGCAGAATTATGATATAAACTAAGAATGGCAAGAAAAAAAACTGAATTATGAGAAAAAGTTGCAATTACCTTTTTTTGGGTGGAAACAAGCTTCCATAGTTAAGGAAGCAACAAGCAACATTATATACAACTTCCACTTGTGATTATGAATACTGGCTAGAATTTTACAGTCTTGCTGATGGTTACACGACTACAAAAACATGTACGACTTCCAAATATATGTCTGAAACACAGCCCAGAACATTGTTTTCAGCTTGCTTCTTTGTCAGACAGTGTAATGCTTTACATTTATGACTATTTTTCTAATCCACTGCAAATCCAGCACTGCTCCCTAAATGTTTTAAGCATTTGCATCGTTTGGAATGAACTTGAAAAGCACATGTTCTTTCAACAGACGCCAGAGAGGACAAAGATATGAGCCAACCCTCTTTGATTTACAGTGCTTCAGCCTAATGTATAGTTACATAATGTACACACACTCACTAACAAGTACACTGTATAGATGTAAAAGAAATACATTGTGTGTGTAAAGAGTAACTCTCAGACACATGTACAAAACATGATCTTTGAAATAAAACCAAGTCCTGCACGGTTCATCAGATATCTAGATTTTGCTCGGTGTAAAAATAAATGTTACTCTGCACTTTATTTGCAGATGAATGGAAATACAAGCTGACAACCGAAGAAAGAAGACCCTCCCTCGTCCCAGTTTGGAAAGCCCTACTGCCGTACTTTTCCAGGAATGTAGTTCCGGTCAATACTTTCGTCCTGCAGGAACATGTGAAGACAGCGTTCGTTCTGGGCCAAAGGATGACCTGCAATTCTGAAGAGGAATATGAGCAACATATTTATGTATGCAATCCATGAAATCTGGACAAACTCAAGTCTTTTTGTTAGTATATGTGGAAAAAAATCCACAATATATATGTGTAATCATTTCAAGCCCTCAAACACTAATAATTTGCGTTGCTGACTTGTACTTCTTCTATAATTTAGAAGTGTCCGTCAGGTATCATTTCGATGACTAACCTGTTGATGAACTGTTCAAGCCCAGATCGTCTCTCCTCAATGAAGGACTCCTCAAAAATGCCCTCATCTCCACGGAAGGGAAGCTGTCTCTTCAATGCCTTTCCAGGCAATGGAGGCACAACAATCTAAGAAATATTTTCACACATTTTAAAAACTATTTTAAGCCTATAAAGCATACTGCATCATATTTGATAGAAGAATTTCTAAGGCTTCTGAATTATCAACGTTATAAAAAAAACTTGAAAAACCTGTTGTGTGCAATCTACTACATGCCTTCTGTCATCTGACTGATAGTTATTATACTTTTTCAGTAAGTATAATTTTTTGAGAAACGTTTATTTGTACATCTCTCAACCATCTTTGTGTTGCATTTCACCCCCCACATTAGAAACTACAAAACTTTGACCATAAATCTAAACATTTAAATTTAATCTTAAGATTGACAACTGATATGTATATGCATGTTATGCAAGTAGTGTGCTATACTGTTATAAAAATCTCACTGATTATTTTTTTCCATGTAAACAACAGCACTATTTCCTTATTTTTGCTGTTTGAATAAAACACAGTTTGAGGTGTTTTTCTTGTCTTTTAGTGTGAACTCCAAATTCTCACTATATCACACTATATAGGCCTGACGTATCAAAAATGATACAAAAATAAACATACATTTTAATCACACAGAGTTGTGTGATTACCTTGCTGTCTCTTTCCAGCTCATTCTTCAGCCACTCGAAGTCGCTGTATCTTCGTCTAACACACGACTCCTTCAGTTTAAAAATGGGAAGATTTGTCTGGATTTCAACGGAGAAAGCAGAATAAGTCACATGATTATTAAATAATGTCTACATATCTTAGCTGTGTACACGATGCAGAATGTTCTCGAATTCATCTAACACAAACTGAGATATTATTAAACCCACAAAATGATGCATTTGCAACAGTAACGCGACCAAATGTTTATCTTAATGGCTTAAATACAACTCGCTAGAGGTTGATGGCTGACAGAGTAACAACAACGGCTAAATTAGCTCAATGTCTCTGCGCTAAACTGCGCAAATCCAACTTGCTCGCACAGAAAACCGATTTTAGACCAAAACCTAGCAATTCACACAATAAAATCACGTTTTTAAAAGCTCTGCGAAGGACAGGATTCTTTCACGTCGAATGAGGCTTTAGTTAGCATTAGCGCGCAGGCTAACGTTAGCTAACTTAGGCCAAATCGAACCGCAGCCTCTCTGACACAAACACACAATCGCATTAATTCACTGGGCCAGCCTACCTTCATCCGGACTTCGTAAGTGGTGAAGCGATTGCGGCCAACTCCTATAGTCTGCGGGTCGTACACATCGATTTCCAGAAAGTTGCTGGGAGGGCCGTAGGCGTCCGTCAGGTCCTGCGGTTTAGAGTTTAACCGGCGAGTGTCGGCCACTGTGGCTTCGGACATCTTTGATGACTTCTTTCAGACTAACTACGTCGAGGTGTAGTCTAGGGCACGTACCGATGAGAAGGTTTTGATTAAGACATTAAATCGATGGAGGTTAAATTGGGCTAGGGTACTTCTGCGAATCTAAAACTTGGATGTGTCCAGTTCAGCGATACCACAGGAAATCCTGCGTTTCTCGCACCTCTGATGCGACGATATGTGCAGTTTGGAAGACGTATTTCATGAACCACCTATTTTTTTTTTGTCCAGCTAGCCAATAGACGTTCTGTTTTATGATGACTGACAGTTAATTGACCTATAAGAATGTAGAAGACCGAGAAGGGGGTGGGCTCTTCAGGGTTCCGTAAAATTTCATAACTGGAGGAGAAACTGGAAAGGTGTGGATTTTAAAATCAAATTTCTCGGATAGTCATTCAAAAAAAAAAACATTAAAACATTATTAGTACACTTAAACGTGTTCTATTTAGCACATTTGTTGATTTCAGTGTTGTAGCAGCCTGGCAGGCCTAGTCGTGATGAACAGTAAATGTTTATATGGCTATATTAAACGACCTGCTTTAAAACATGCAAACGCACCAAAATAATGCATAGAAGAAAATAAACTAGTGTTATTTTATAGTTTACTATAGTTTGCATAAGCCTACTATTTTGAATTAGTTTTATTTTTACTTTTAGTTTCTGTTTTCATTTTAATTTTAGTTAAAATTGTAGTCATATTGTTGTATGTTTTGATATTTTTAATAGTTAATTTATTTTTATTAGTTGTATTTTTATATGTCTATATAGTTTTCATTTCAGTTTTGGCTTTAATTATTTTAGTACAACAAATAAAAAATGTGAAATGTTTCCTTGAAAACTAGCTGAAATAAAATATGTTTTTATTTTATTTTATGTAAGTAACGAACATGTTTTGTGGTTGTAGTTTTAGTTTTAGCTGACTATAAAAACCATGCCATTAACTAGGATTTAGATAGGCCTACTTTAATTTTAATGAAGTATGTTAAAATATAAATTTTCCCCAATTATTTTGTTATATGTTATATTTTGGGTTATAGTCAATCACACAAACAAAAAAGAATTAAAGCCAAAAGCATCTTTTTACAAAACTTCCTACTCAGATAATATAGATATCACTATCTGTGCTGCATTTTTCTTTCTGAAAGGATTATTCAGATATTAGTTTTACTCGTGTTTATTTGGTGAAAATTACATGATTTGATATTACATAACTGTATACAGACCTTGTCATTCCTCTACCTCTGGGGGGTGCTAAACTTTAGCATAAAAAAAACAAGTTAATGTTAAATCCAAACCATCTTGAATGATTACCCTTGACCCCGACTGCCTTCTTTATATGTCTTTTTTTAATATTTTTTATTTCTTTAATGGCATGATAAATTCAAATGGAAGTGCTGATACACCAATTAACTATTTACTGCAGTCTTGCAGTTGACAGATGTGTAACTCTCTCCAAATATACTGTTTTGGAATAAATAATTTCACGCATCAGGTTAAAAAGACCAGCAGGATGACGTTGTTTGCCTCTGTGAACTAGCCGTTTACTGCCCGACGAGCACTAGGACCCGGATGAGCACAGATTTGGCGTGGTCTGCTGCACGCGCCCCTGTCAAAAGTGTAGTGTTGGCCACACGCGCGCTGCACAAGATGCTGCTGTACATTACAGTGAGGGACTGCTGAAGTCTGTTACGGAGTGCTCAAGAAAATTATCCTCTTCGACATGGAGATCACAGATTCCACTTGTGAGTATGATTTTTTCCCACACGAAAACAGCCTTACAGTTATTGTCTTATAAGAAATAAGTAATAATGCGTTATTTGATTTTTTAAACATTATTAAAGTAGCCTAAGTCAATCGCATCTTTTCTGTGTACCTGTGCTGGAAAATGAATCTGATGTTATTACACAATTCTTATATATTTTTTACTTACAGTCTGTGAGTCAGAACAGCCGACATTGTAGTCTACTCTGTTAGGATCAGGAAACAGTCCTCCATAAAATGTGCCATAAACCAAGAGCTTGTAACACTCCAAAGAGAAAGGAAAAATTGAAATCGCATCATATGACCCCTCTAAAGGCCCAAATGAATATGTCTAGTGTAAGGAAAGCATATACTGTTTACAAAAGTAATAACAGTAAAATTTTAACTCCTGTTACATTAATACACCTCCTTTTGCGGATTACTGCTGTAAAATATACAAAAATATATTCCTCTCATCCTGCATTCTTCATGTCCCTAAATTTCCATTGACCCAGCTATCAGCTCCTTCATCCTGCTGTTCTGAGCTGGTTGAAGGCCAGTTCAGCATGATGGCTATTCATGATCTGAAAGAAGACTTCCTTGCCCCTCATGCAGGAAATCCGCTTGAGAATGTGTTCAACTCTGAGTTTGTTTGCATGGATGCCAGGAAAAAACAGCCCATCAGCTACTTGTTGCTGTTTTTAGTTATGGGGGGATTTTGGAAATGCCCTTTTAAGTGTTTGCTTGCTTCTTGTGAGGAGCATTAGTGAGTTTAGACACGTAGGTGAACCTTACACCTTCAAATTTTATGAAAACTGTAGGGTCTGTGTGCTCCTACTCTGCTATGAATCATTGGTGTTTTGTTATGTTCAAAAACAGTTCAAAAGTTTGGGGTCGGTAATATGTACATTTTAAATTAAAATGTTTGTATTTTGTACAATTATTTTATTTTAAAAAATATATTTATTTATTAATTAATTTATTAATTAATAGGTCTCTCATGCTTACCAAGGCTGCATTTAATTGATCAAAACTACAGTAAAAACAGTAATATTGTGAAATATTATTACCATTTACAGCAACTTTTCTATTTTAATATAATTTAATGTGCAATTTATTCCTATGATCGCAAAGCTGAATTTTCAGAAGCCATTAGTAGTTAAATTAATGGTTTGTTTTTTTCCCAATTGACCCTTCGCAAAGACCCGCCTCCCTTAGTTACTGTTGCTATGTCTGACAAGCCATGGCGCTCTCACGCCACACATCATGTTCTCACGCAGTGAAAAATACATCGCGAAGCAAAGAGGACACTAATGATGCGCCAACAGACAAAGCAGAGCAGGTATGAAACAAAGTCTCAAGTTTCAAATTTTGTCTTTTTTTT